CACTACAACATTGCTTTTTTCCTTTTGTATTTCGTATGGCTTGCTGCCTGGATCAAGAAACCTCACAAGAGTTTCAAAAAATATTCTATGCACCACTTTTGCCTTGTTAGCATTGCTGTCTATTTTCTCTTTCTCAATCTGTTCCTTTATCTGCAAACGAAAGCGCGATACCAGCTCCGGATTGGCATTTGACCTAATCAGGGAAGTGCATACCTCCTCTTTGGAATAAAGTAATAGATTAATTAAAGTATAAACAGAGTAATCACATCAAATAGATTGAGACTAAGTCATAGTTATGATTGTCTATTAACAATTGAGAGTATTATTGATATACATGTTGGCTTGCCTCAGTGTTTCTGTTTCCAATCAAGTGTCAAGTTCATTGATGGATTTCTTGGAATTTGATGAAGCATACAAAGAGTTTCATTGATGAGCTGTAGTTTAATAGATCATCAACTTTAAAAGAGAATGTATCACAACACATAAAGACAGATATTCGATTTACTTACAACCTCTTAGATAGTCTTTATTAACACTAAGTGTAAGAATTTTTTGTTTTTGTATTTTTATGATATTTTTAGACTTTAAAATTTTGTGAATTCGTTCCCCTCAAAATATGAATACTTGGGGAGAATACTTTATGGAAAAGTTAGATGATATATCTGATGTGTTTACTAGTGCTATAGATGCGGGTGCCATGAAAAAAGTACTGGTAGCATTACAAAGTGAGCCCATTGGTCGGTTAATGGTAAAAATGTACATGTTCTTCAGTACAAACACAGGATTGTATCTTGGTGTTTTATGCACTGTAGTTATACTGGCTTATTTTCTGGTCAATCATGATAATTATTATAAGTACAATATCTTTCTTATTATAGGATACTGTCTTTTGTTCTTCAAAATTGTATTCTATGCATTCACATGCGGTGTAATATCAAGTCTCATTACTAAAGGTCAATCCACTGATAAGTCAATGCACTACAACGTTTTATACCTGTATGGAATTGTGGGTTTGTTTGTTGAATTGCTGATGTTGGGACTTTTACAAGATCTGCTTCTTTTTGATAGAAAGCCAAGATCTACATTTTCGCTTAAGAATTTATTTATGTTCTTTTGTATTGTAGCTAATGTGGTGTTTTGTGGTTATTTCTTGTCGACTCCGAACATAATTAATACAGAAGAAAGGAATTTTGTTATTATATTCCTTATACTACAACTATTCCTCTTCTATGTCTTGCCATTCATCGTTTACTTTTTAATCATGGTTAACAATTTTGTGGAGAATGTGCTTAGTAATTACGTATATCCAGCAATTGCCAACCTTCTTTTTACATCTAAGCCTGGATCAAAACAAGAAAGAACACACGTAGTGGCTCTGTCTTAGAAAAAGAGAAAGACGTTTCAAATCTTATGTTTAATAAGTAAACTTTTGATTTAATTAATTCACTTGACGTGTATCAAATTTGTAATAATACTGAAAAGCTTAAACAAGCATGTTTAATTAACATTGACTGCCATCGTCGCAATTTGACTTTCATTCGTGTATTTACTTTAGTCATTCCACCTCACTCATTCCTTTTCATAATCTTTACACTCAAAAATCCTTCGTGCGCTTTTACCTCTTCGTTTATAAGCAGCAGGTTCTTTATTCTCGAATACTTCTTCCTGTCCCTCTTCAAAAAGTACATCAGATCTTCTGTTTTGGTTTTCCCTTTTATCCTGGCCATGGAGTGGACTTTAGTCAGCAGCAGACTGAGATAGTCCATCAAATAGCTGTGCAGAACTTCCACAGTATCCATCCTTGGTGAGCTGACATCTCCAAACCCATACATCATAGACCTCACTTCTTTGAGAAACGTAGTTTTTTTTGTCTCTCCCATGGGTGGAGGATTAAGCAAGCATTAACTCATACAAATTAACAGGCGTATGGGCACTGTGCTGGAGTATGCTGTTTTAAATGCATTATCCATGCCATGTCTTTTGTCTTTGAACAGCTGGGTTAAACTAGAAATATCACGAGGAAACAGATGAGAAGACAAAGATAATGCTAAAGGAATTAGTAAAGGTAAAATCGAGCAACTTGAAACTAGTCGATCAGGTCAGAGGAGGCATTGTTGAAATATTCCAACGTGCACAGGATGCAGGAGACTACTTGGATAAAATGTATAGACTGATTAAGAAAGATAAATGAGGACTTTAGAGTTCTATCCCCGCTAGATGGTTTAATCATACTGTGCTTGGGAGTTGTGTGTCTAAAAGAGCATGCAAGTGATTTCTTTTGAAGCGTTATTTACTCAAAAATGTAATAAATTAGTATTATGGAAATCTATCATTGTTAGTTAGTCTTGCCATAGGAAGATTGCTGATTACAGCATGTATAGAAAATAAAAGGTTGAATGGTTAACTTACTTTGCTTTAGCACAGTAGTACGCAATGCCTTTGCCAGATATGTGTTAAAAGATGTGCTTATCTTAAAATCAATCAATCTTTAATAATTTTGAAATTTCGCAGCAAATCAATACGGTCATAAACGTCTTTCTATCCCAAAAATAGCGCAAACACTTCCCATTATCGTCAAGTGTCCATGGAATATATGTCTAAATGACGTGTATTTGAGTACTTTTGATTCTTGCTTGAAGTTTTATTTACATTTTTATTAAATCAGCATTTGAATAAATATATTACGTCGAAGTTGTGCTGAGAATAGACTAGACTGGTAATATTAAATAATTCATAAGCATCATGTTTCGTGAATTTTTGGTGAGTAAACTATTGTTTTTGTTGTTCGCGGTAGATAGAGGTTTCAAAATTAAAGCCAGAGCAAAAGAGTTAACTTATCATATTGTGAATTTTCATGTGTTTTACGAATCAAACAGTGAAATGGATTGGTCCACGTAGAAAATAATATTTAAAATGCCATGTAGTATAAGTGTATCTATTATATAGGTTGTGGTAGTTAAGGATTTATCGGGAATATAGCGTAATAAATTTTACAGACAAGCATATTAATAAAATAAAAATGAATTAGTCGCAATACTATCTAAAATACACTAGAGAGTGATCAATTAAAACTATTGAGAAAGACAAGAACAAGTATTTAGTGGCAAGAGAATCATGATATATGATGAGCTATATTACCAGCTAAGAGCTGGTGGCTTATCTAAATTAATTGAAAATTTACACCAAACATTAAGAATGAAATATATTGGAGGAATAAGTTAAAATACTAATATCTATCATCATCAAATTAAGTTTGTCTTTAATAATCATGCCTCGATTCAAAGAGCCTTTGATACAAATCGAAAGACTAATAAGTACAAGAGCTAGATGAGTTTATGAAGCCAAAAATTGAATGCGCATAAATGTATTAAAATAATTGTTTATAAAACTGTATGAGAAAATAATGAACAGTCGCAAAAATATAAATCTAATTTGAGTGATGTTTTTATTTAATTTGTGCCCGAAGTTTTTACAGTTAATAATTTTAGCCTGTTTGTTTGTATTTAAGCGCAAACATCAATCCAAATGTACAAAGATATACAATAAAGCATGTTAATATACAATCTGTTTAATTTATATTTGGAAGTAAAACGCAAACACATTCATATGCGGTTTGAATTAACTCTTACCTACGACCTCTGACATTAAGAAAAATGTTGATATTAGAGTGTGAGTACCAAAAAAGATATTAATATAAAAAAATGTTTTGCACAGACAAAAATACTATCATATCCTATTCAAGGAATAACTTTTACAGAATTAATTTCTCGTATAACAAAGAATCCAATAATAAATTTCTGTAAATTAAATTTATGCGCAATGATATTTGATATTAATATAGTTAAACTGATAATTGTATTTTAAATTTTCAATCACCAAAATGTGATGGAACCTCCAATATTTGGAACTTTATCTTGTCCACTTGTCTTCACAATTTATCATACGATTCTAAGGAGATTGAGAACATCGATCGGTATGATAGTGTGTGTTGTAAATGGTTGTTTGTCTTCTGCTTGAATTTTTTACTAGACTATGCATCTTGGTATCTCCGATCTGAATTAAAAAAATGTGATTTTCAGTTTTCTTGTGAATTTTCAAAATCATTTTTACGAAAATTTAAATGAATGGGGTCGTATTGGATATGATTTGCATTATAAATAAAAATTTTATCAAGCCAAACATTTTGCCACAACACAGATTTCAACTTCCTTTCGTCTAACAGAATGTAAAAGTTTGAATACTTTAAGACACCAGATTAAAACGTAACAAAATCCCAAAAAACTTTTAGTATTATAATAAACTTTGGATATATTAGGTCAATGGTGTTGAGAGTTTTGTTCTTCTACATTTTATTCCAAAGCCGCAATGTGGTGTTTATTGGCCTTACATTAATAATAAATTGCTTGATTATATATGTGTAAACCTGCATGATTAAAAACCGTTCAAGTATTTAAATAAAATACATAAAATAACAACCGTTAGGCCGCATCAAAATCTTGTAAAAATACTCGAGATGCAGAATTCTCTATGCAAAAATCTCTACTATAGAAATTCAATATCACTTATGCAAAATCGTCAGTTTTTAAATTAGAAATAACTTATTTAATACCTAAACCGCCTTTTCTCTTCCACATTAGTATATGTCTTTGAATGTTATAATTGGCTCCAAATATACCTGGATTGCACACTATCCCCTATTGTTTTGGTTCCTCAATATTTAGATGCTAAAAATCTTTTAATATCCTATAATATTCATTTCAGATATACCCAGCCAGTTTATATCTGATAAACACTATGCATGAAGTACTGATGCCCTCATATTCAATACATCACATGGCTTAGATCTATGTTTAAATACTATTCAAGTAGGACACACGATGTCGATGCATTTATGAAACATACCGGACATCCATGTTGTCTTTAGTGTGCATTTCCATTCTTCCACAAATACTGGTTTCTTATTACACTCCAGAGATATGGGTTTAATGGTGTGTCGATTGGCAAGTTTATGCAGGATATTTCTAATTATTTGAAGTACTTAGATATAAAAATCTAGCAAGTATGTCTTAACATGAGTGGAATTTTTAAACTAGAAGTTTAAAAATTGAACGAACCACTGATGGGCTGTTATATTCATATAGTCAGTATGTTACCCCATAGATTTATTAAATGCTAAGATCTCAAGTGGCGGAAAAGTTTTCATTAACTTTTGCTTAAAACACCATTTTTGTTGAGGTTAAAATTTTTAGCAGAAACAGACTAAATCTTTTTAAAAAATTAAATAAAAGTTGTATGACACATCAATCTACAATATAACTGCGTTTGTATTAATTCATAGTTTGCTAGCAATTTTATTTAAAGCTGATGTAATTATTTGTTTGAATGTTTAATACTCAAATGCCCAAACAATTTTGATCCATTATATAACTCATATTGGCACAATTGTTTTTATTAACTATCCATTTCCAACTCATAATAATCGGGATTGCTCATTTATTTCTACAACATGTGAGAGATTGCCAATGCACGGAATTTATCAATCCATATGTTATTGAATAACATAAAAACGCTTGTTGTTCGATGTAGAATTAATTATAAGATGAAATTTGCTTGTACAAAAGCATTTAAAGGCTTGATCGATCAACAATACACTTGACTATGTCGTTTTCATAATATAATTGCTCATTGAAGCGGATAAAGAGAACTATGCAACTTACAAAACTTTGTCCTAAATCGAGTCCTTTTAGTAATGTATTTTGTAAAAGTTTTCAACGATATTTTTCATTAATCTTCCATCAATATGCATTTTCCTTTGGAATGTTATAAGACATTGAAAGAGATAAACATGCAATCTATTAGTTAAATCAGTTAGGTTATTACGAAGAAATGTGTGCTTTAAAAATAAGAAGGATAACCACCACATTTGATTAATATTGTTGAATTGGTAAAGTACGGCATCAAACATATAGAAGAACCATTCCTATGTTTCAGTCTTGTTAGCTCAAGCATCGTTGTTTTTATTTGCATCTGACCGTTTAAAAATTATAATGTAATATAAAGTGATGCAACATCACAAAATTTTTAAAAACAGTCAAAACGACAAGTTATGATGCTACAAAAATAATGATGCGTAAATATTCAATAAAAGATGAGACTAACAGTTTATTTTGATTTCTAAAAAATATTGGCTCAATTAAATTAACCAATGTTGTACACTTAATATTAAAAATTTAAAAATTAAATATTTAGATAATTTTAGGAATAAAAGAGAGTATTCTACAAAGCTACATATAGGACTATTTCACACCTGCTATGTAGAAAGCATCAACACTGACAATTTCCAAGGTTATTATCTTTTATATAAAGATTTTATGCTGTAAGATAGAAAAATAATTGATTTCGAACAAAACAGAGTTAAAAAAGTTTAAAGGAGAGCAATATCGTGTTGTAAAATCTCTATATTTGGTCTGATCTCATAATACAAAACTACGCTGCTTGCTAAAACTTTTAAAGATGGTATCTTTAAACGTAAAGTGAGAAGACATGATTGCTAAATTCAAATAAGAAGACATATTTATTTTTAACAACATCATTTTTTAGGATGTAGCTGGTTCATAAAACTTTGTAAAAATAAAATATGAAAGATAATGGGAAAGAAGTCAATATTAGATAATAAACATTTTTGCATAGCATTATGATAATCTATATAACATGCTAACGATTTCATATTTATGTTTCGAATTCGAAATGATTTCACGCCTAAATTAAATCCATAAGCAAAAACACAACGCATGCGTGGATTTTTTTAGGAATCTTCTATGGGTTTTGACCGTTAATAAAAAAATTAGAATGGAAGTTTTATGAAATGCAAGAAAATTTT